AATAACTTTCAAACTGTATAATTATGAATATTTAATTACCAAACATCCAATAAAATATCCTCTTTGAGAAACTGCCAGTAGCACGTATGAAGTTGCTGTAGGCGTCAGAGTATTTTCGGTTTGGTATCCAAAGTGGCTGGTTTTCGGATGCAAATTCATCACCAGGTGGATCCGTTGGGTAGTACAGTCGTGTGAATGTTCTGAAACACAAAACAAATTTAAAACAATACTGTAGTTTCCTCTGGTATAAACCTCTACCCCCTTGAACATAATTTTGGGGTGATTATCTCTTTTTTATTTATTTTTTGGTGGGGGAGTTTATACTGAAGAATTTATTTTTTTTAATTAAAAGGCAATTTTTCAAAACTCCATGCCTACTGTAATCCAAAGCTAATATTTGATTATTGTTTTACAGTATTTGTAAAGTTAGCTACACCTATGCTTTTATTCAAATCATATCACTGTGGGCTATTGCCGAGGAAGGCCGATAGGTAAAACTGGGCGTTAAGTAGGGGGTGGGACCAGAGGTGTGCTTTCCCAAGGAACTACAGTACTTTAAATGTAATGTAATTTAATAAATTATCCTCTAAATACAGCCAATGATGATACATTTTATGAATACACATTTTATTTAGATTTATGACATAACTATTGAAAAGTACAGATTGCAGATTCACAGGTTACTAAATCAAACATCACAAAATTAAGAAAAAAAAATGTATTATTGTGTAATTTATAGAGGACATATAAGAACACTTGTTATAAATGACATGAAATTGTTTCTTCAATAACAGGCTTGTGGGTACTTCCACCACACTATTTTTTGGACTCTTATGTGACCTTTTCACCCAAGAATGTAATCATATCAACAATCTTGACCTCAAATATCCTGAAGGTAAATGTTAACAAATACTTTCTGTTACTGGACACTCATTTTTTTTTTTTTTTTTTATCATACATTAGATTTTGCTTAATAAAGCCTGCACAGTGGCATATCTAGGAATTGCACAGAACATTTCCCAAAAAAATTCCCCCTCCCCAGTCCCCCCCCCCTATTTAAAATGTTAAAAAAAATCATATTAAGTAGTTAAAATAACCTTTGTCTTGCAACCTAGCGTCGATCACCAACTCAGACCATGTAGGAAATATTTCCTCCATGCTCAGACTAACTTTGCGCCCCATCACCCTTTCCATGACTCCACACGTGTCATGTTTTAATCACGATAATACCACTCATGTCACAGGTGGCGTGATCCTTCCTAGGAGGCCTAGCTAGTAGTGGCCTAGTTGATTTTAGTAGTTAAGCCTAAGCTAGGCTCTAGCCCAGGCTTAGTCTAGGCTACCATCTGGACCGACGCATTTCTGGAAAAAAAAAATAAAACTGAACACACCACTAAAATAACAATATCCAGGCTAGGCCTGGGCTACGGTACCCATTCTTTGAGTTGTCTGACATAATATCTGCAAGTCCGACGGCAAATGGGCCGCGACCCGGTGGAATTCCATGGCCTCGGCTAGGTCTAGTTCTTGCAACTGCTGCTGTCATGGTTTGGTAGCCGTACAAGCCTACTACAGCAAAACAAACACACAGAAATGGGTAAAAGTACATTAGAATCCTACCATCCTGTATACAGAATATATAGAATCTCAGATTAGGTCTACTAACGCTAATTGTACGCAATAATAGAAGCCCACTGAAGGACGTCTATGGTATTCCCACGCAATTAATGGTGTCACTGTCACACACTGTATTTTATCCAAGGAGGAATTTTTTCAAGTGGTCCGATCCTCAGGCAATAAGTGGTACTTTGACAGCTCATTTCCTACACCGGTTTTGAAATTCAGTAATTAATGAACTAAAAAAAAAAAAAGTAAAATAAAATTTTAAAAAATGAATAAATAAATGAATGCAATATATTTAGGCCTACTGAATAAATTTATTATGACCTATTAAATTCAATTTAAATTTCTAACAAAACATTTCTAACAAATTTAAAAGATGTGTATAAGAGACAGGCTTTGCATTGTATATAGGCCGTACGTTATTTAAACATGTTTAGTTCTCACTAAAATTGGCCTATTCTATTCTCTGTATTTATTTACACCTAGAGTACATAGGACCTACTGAAGGACTATACCAGTCCGAAAAGTCATGTACCACTCTATGTTCTCTAACAACGGAGTTAACAGTTAATTTTTCAATCTCCAGCAAATTTAAATAGAGCATTCAAAATCCTCCTTTTTCGAATGTAAGGAAATAGATAGTACTTTATATTTGTTGGATCGATTGTAACTCCTGATTGTAGCAACCCCAAAACGAATGGCACTTCAGAA